AGTCCTTGCCAAACCTCGAATGGCTTCTGGTAGAAAGCCGTTTCCATCTTCAAGAAATCCCTGCTGCTATTGCAAGCCTAAAGAGGATTGAAGTGAAACGATGCCGTGATTCTCTTGAAAAATCAATGAAGATTTGAGGAAGAGCTAGACTATAATGGAAAGGCAATCGAAGTCATTGTTTATGCCTTAGATTCGTCCGCCTGAAGTGCACATAAAAGCTGCAACACTGGTTCAACAGGTAAGTGACACAAGCTTATTTGCATTATCTCCTGAGCTTGTTCACACAACTTTTTAAACCTTAGTAAACCATACCTTAGAAGTGTTTCTTTGCTGTGCAGAGAGGAAAAACCAAAACAATACATCATCTTTCGTTTTAGAATCAAAGTCATACATATTCTTTCACATGGAGCATTAATAGTACATTTACTTTAACAAAGTGGTTCACTTTTAGTCATAACACTGAAAAAAAGCCCAAAAACATACATTATCTTTGGCTTTAGACTCAAAGTCATACATATAGCATTAATAGTCCATTTACTTGAATAAAGTGTTGCACTTTTAGTCATAATACTAAACACATTTTATTTTTTAATAAAAATCTAAGATCTGACAAAATATCTGTTCCCTTTATTTTCTTGTTTACCAAAAGAAATAAAGATGACATATTTATCTAAATAGCAAATAATAAATATACATAGAATTTATTTACTATTTATCTATTTACTATACGTAAAATATATATTTTACTAAGAAATGTTAAACACCATTAATATTTATTTGCAATGATTTTTATCTAGATAACCTCAAATGGTATCTAGATTTTTTATTATATACATAATATTTACTATACGTTAACATAAAATAAATATACTTAAAATCATTGCTAAGAGTAAAATAAATTTTATTACTAAAATAAATATAAGTAATATATATATATTTATTATATTTTTTTATTTTATGGGAGTCAGCATATAGTAAACATAATATTTATTTTTATTTTATGTATATTTACTTTAGTAATAAAAAATAAATATTATGTTTACTATACGCTAACTCCCATAAAATAAAAAAATCTAATAAATATATATTACGTATATTTATTTTAGTAATAAAATTTATTTTACTCTCAGCAATGATTTTACGTATATTTATTTTATGTCAACGTATAATAAATATTATATATATAATAAAAAATCTAGATAACATTTGAGGTTATCTAGATAAAAATTATTGCAAATAAAAATTAACGGTGTTTAATATTTCTTGGTAAAATGTATATTTTACATATAGTAAATAGATAAATAGTAAATAAATTTTATGTATATTTACTATTTGCTATCTAGATAAATCTGTCATCTTTATTTCTTTCAGTAAACAAGAAAATAAAGGGAACACATATTTTGTCAGATCTTAGATTTCTGTTAAAAATTAAAATGTGTTTAGTGTTATGACTAAAAGTGCACCACTTTGTTAAAGTAAATGGACTATTAGTGCTCCATGTGAAAGAATATGTATACTTTGAGTCTAAAGCCAAAGATAATGTATGTTTTTGGGTTTTTTCAGTGTTATGACTAAAAGTGCACCACTTTGTTAAAGTAAATATACTATTAGTGCTCCATATGAAAGAATATGTATGACTTTGAATCTAAAGCCAAAGATCATGTATGGTTTTGGGCTTTTCCTCCTGTGCAGAGGTGAAAGAATGCAATTTAAGATAGAAATGAACAACTCAGTCGAGCAACTGCTGGTTCTAGTCAGGGGCGGCCCGTCCATAAAGCGGGTAAAGCAATTGCTTTAGGCCCCACATTTATGGGGGCCCCATTTTTTGGTTATATCTAAATTATATATATATATATATATATATATAAAATTAAAAAATATTATAAAATAAAACGGGAAGTTTGAACACAAATTTGAGATAGTGGACCACAAGTCCACAACTTTCTCAAACAAAACTTTGTTGAGCAAAGTGAAGACAAGTAGACAACGTGTGTACTATGCACTAATAGTTATGTCACTATATTATATTTTATACTTTGTTCTTACTCCATTATTCAACAGTTCAACTTCAATAGCCAACATTATCGTGGAGCTGCTGAAGTGAGGACAACGTGACTAACTAACTTTGTCGAGCAAAGTGAAAAACACTATATCACTATTTTATATTTTTATACTTTGTTCTTCAATTAATCACACTCCATTCTTCAATAGCCAAAGATCAAAGCTTTATTGTGGATCTTCAGTCTTCAGAGTTCAGTGTATTGATTCAAGAAATAGTGGAGTATTTTTGTTTGTTCTATTTTCATAATTCAAGTCTTACAACAAGCATACCAGAACAGAAAATTTAATTTCATATCAAGCTATCCGTTCTTGAATCAGGTTCAATCATTCTATCTTCTTATTATTTTTTCATCTAAAATTTAATATTTTGCTATTTATTCTATCTTTTTATTATTTTCTCATTTAAAATTTAATATTTTGCTATTTAGTGCATTTTTAGATTATTTATTACTTATTAGAAGATAAGTATGTCAAATAGAAAGTGTGAATCTGGTTATGAAAAACTCAAGAAAAGAAGAAGAATTCAAAATTTAATACAATCTCAAAAAGGTGCTATTGACAAATTTTTATTGAATAATAAAAATCTTGAATCAGAAAATTTGGGAGAGTGTTCTTTAGATGAGCAAGTTAGTAATTCGGTTGAGTTAGATAATTCTAAAATTAATAATATTCAAGTAGAAAAAGAACAAGTAAGTGACAAGTCGAAAATAGATCCTCAAAATAATACATTGATGCTTATGAATGAAATAAATAATTCAACTCCTATAAATATATATGATCCTAGTCAATGGACTAATGTAGATACAAAGTTGAGAGATCTATTAGTAGAAAAGGGGCCGATTAGAATAATTTACACAAATTTTCCGAATGATACATTTTCAAGACATTTTTCTACTACACTAAAGACATGATAGAAGATGGTTAGTTTATTCTAAAGACTTAGATAAAGTATTTTGTTTTTGTTGTAAGTTGTTTAGTTTGAGTTCCAGAACTTGTAGTAGTAAACTAGCTAGTGAAAGGAGTAATAATTGGAGAAATATTAGTACTAAGCTCAAAACTCATGAAACAACAAATGAACATATTATTAACATGGCTGCATGGATTGATTTAGAAATAAGACTCCAAAAGGATAAAACAATCGATAAAGATGTTCAAGAACAAATCAATAGAGATAAAGAGCATTGGAAAAATGTATTGTCAAGAATTATTGCCGTGATCAAAACTCTTGGAAAAAATAATTTAGCATTTAGAGGAAAAAATAAAAAGATATATCAAGAGAATAATGGAAATTTTTTAAGTTTAATTGAAATGATTTCAGAATTTGACCCTGTCATGCAAGAACATATTCGACGAATTAAGCATGATGAAATTCATAGTCATTACCTTGGGCATAGAATACAAAATGAATTGATAAACTTATTGACAAGTGAAATTAAGAATAAAATTATAGAAAAAATTATAGAAGTAAAATATTTCTCTATCATACGTGATTGCACTCCAGATACAAGTCATCAAGAACAAATGTCTTTTATACTGCGGAGTGTGGATATTTCGGCAACTCCAATAAAAATTAATGAATATTTTTTAGAATTTTTAAAAGTAGATGATACAAGCGGAAAAGGTCTTTTTGAAATTATTATAGATGAAATAAAAAAATATTGAACTTGATATTGATAATTTAAAAGGGCAAGGATATGATAATGGGTCAAATATGAAAGAAAAACATCAAGAAGTGCAAAAAAGACTTCTTGATATAAATCCTAGATCATTTTATATACCATGTGGTTGTCATAATCTAAATTTGTTACTTCGTGATATGGCTAATTCTTGTACAAAAGCTATATCATTTTTTGGAGTGGTACAACGTATATATTCACTATTTTCATCTTCTACTAAGCGATGGAAAGTATTAAAAGATAGTGTACCTAGTCTAACTCTTAAATCATTGTCACAAACTCGTTGGGAAAGTCGTATTGAAAGTATTAAAGCAATAAGATTTCAAACTCCACAAATAAGAGATCCTTTATTGAAATTAGTGATAATCCAAAAACTAAAAGTGGAGCTAATTCCTTAGTAACATATGAACTCGAAAATTTTAAATTTTTATTGGGTATGACTATTTGGTATGATATATTATTTGTTGTTAATTCAGTTAGCAAAAGTATGCAGTCAATAGACATGCATATTGATGTTGCCATAGATCAATTAAAAGGTTTGATTTCTTTTTTTAACAAATATAGAGAAGAAGGATTTGTAACTGCTATGATTTCTGCCAAGAAAATTGCATTTGAAATGAATATCGAACCCGAATTTCGTAAGAAACGTGTGATATCTAGGAAGAAAAAATTTGATGAGAATGTTGATAATGAAATCTCAAAGTCTCTTGAAGAGTCCTTTAGAGTTGATTACTTTTTATACATAGTAAACAAGTCTATTTTTTCACTTCAAAATAGATTTGAACAATTTGAAGCATATGAAAATATTTTTGGTTTTCTATTTAGTGGTAAAAAGCTAAGATCACTAAATGATGAAAATTTAAAAACACATTGCCAATTTTTCTTAAAGCATAATAATCAATCCGATATTGATGGTTTAGATTTATTTTTTGAGTTGAAATTATTAAGGAAAATAGTACAAGTAGAAGATAATAGTTTAATCGATATACTCAATCAAATAAAGAGACTTGATTCTTTTCCAAATGCCTATATTGCTTATAGAATAATGTTAACAATTTCAGTTACCGTTGCTTCAGCGGAAAGAAGCTTTTCAAAATTAAAATTGATAAAATCTTACCTAAGATCAACAATGTCTCAAGAGAGATTAAATGGGTTAGCTATATTGTCAATTGAGAAAGACTTATTAGGAGAAATTGATTATAAGAAAATTATTAGTAACTTTGCATCTAAAAAAGCTAGAAAAATTGACTTCAAATAATAAAAAAAAAATTAAAACATTAAGCCACTCAATAAAATTTGGCTTTAGGCCCAAAAATACGTCGGGCCGCCCCTGGTTCTAGTTTCAAACTACCTCTGCGAAAATTGAAGCAAATCGTGGAAGGTACTCTTAGTTGAGACCAGAAGGTTGAATCTGGCCTGTAAGCCGAGAAATTTGATAAACATCCAAGACTCGGAGAGACTAATCCATGAGATTACCTGTTAGCCAACAAAGAAGTTTGCGGGCTAAACCAAATTAGATTTTGCTGTTTCATATCATAAGCTAGTAAACAAGCCTATCAAGGAGAATCAGAGAACCAGATTCAATATGGTGCCACATAACTTCTTGATCATGTTTACTGATTTTCTTGCTCAACATATCTTATATAAACTTTCATGAAAATGGAGGAAGGGGTAGAGCTTTCTCTATGAAACATAGCCGCTTCTGAATTGGGATAATAAGCAGTTCAGAGCAGCTGTAGAGGAACCATCTATTCACCGGTTGACTGAATGAGATTCAAGCAAACAGCAATTGGCTAGCAAATTGCATCATACCTTCATCTTTTTGTTGAAAAACGAAATTGTCAGCAGAAATCTTGTACATTTGTATAATAGGTTGTCACACACCATAATTGTTCAGGCTCCTTATTTGTAATTTATTGAAGCAAAGTTCAGCTGGAATAGTAGTATTATTCAGACTTACACAATAAAAAAGTAAAGGAAAGGTTCCACCTTTAGCTTGCAGGCTCTCATACTCCGCGCACACCTATGAAGGCCAATATAAAACGCCATTCCCCAAAATGAATGATGCTTGCAGGAAGAAGTGAGCAGCAAAATATTTGAACAGCACAAAGTTGCAGAAATCATAGATTCATTGCACTCAGCGGTGGAGTTAGAATATCAGAAAATTTCAAGAATGCCACGGTTGGATTTGAAGTTTGAACCTATAACCTGAAGCAAGCCGCCTTTGCCACTCCACTAGCATCTTCCCTTTTGTCAAGAGAATTATTTTACCCTATTTGCGCAATATAAGTTTTTGACGACCGCCTTTCAATTTACGCCCCTTGCGTCCACCTAGCTTTGCCCCTGATTGCACTGATGACAAGTTAGCATCTTCCTTATGTGATAGAATGGATTCCAGTTCCATCTCCTGCTGAGGCAATAGCAATGACCATGCCGATGCCCAGGTGGCTGCTGGTACTGTTTTCTGAAGATTCCTCAACGGATTAATCATTCGGTTTTTCATTTCTTCAGTAGCAAGATCTTTTCCAGCACATAGAACCTAAAGAAAAAAAGCAAAACTTATTTGACATAAGATCTTTGCAAATTATTTCAACAATTTGATACTATTTACCTATCTACTTCTTTGATTAATGTTTTATGTTATTTCGTATCAGAAATTCGTTTTGTATGTGCTGTAAGCAATATAGATCTGATAGACAAATTACTAACATACAAAGGAAATTACTAAATAAGATTTTGTATTACTTCTTTAATTTACTGGATAAAAAGTAAGAATCGGAGTTGAGAATATTTATATCAGGAACAAATGAACAACTCAATCTGGCATCTATAGGTTCTGATATCGAAATAACCTCTGCAAAAACTAACAAAAGTTTTGGGAAGTGCTCATATTTGGGACCCAAAAGTTTTCTGTCTGACCTGCAAAGCGATAAAATTTGCTAAAACGTTAAAGAATAGAAAGAAATTGATTTAAAAGACAACATATTAGAGTTTGCAAACTTCAGCTAGTGTTCAATTTGCTGAATGGAAAAATAGACTAATCATAGTAACAACCAATAAGATGATCAAGTCAACCCGACAAATGCTACAAAGATTATAGTTTAATAATTCATCTAACATTAGAAAGAACATGGTGATCTTTTAATTTAGCAGAAAAGCCTTTTGTCAAGATTCAAGATTGCAACTGCTAACCAAATTCTGTTAAACCAAATGTAACAGATATTTTCTAGTTGCACCATCATAACTTTGAAAATAGACACAATACTATAATATTACTTCAAGCATTTTGTTTGGCTAATTGTCGCGTAATTTTCCTAATATATAACTGAAATTAGGAATATCATGTGGAATATATGCATCATGCATGCTATTATAAGAACACTCGTACTTTTATCTACAGAAAATATTTTAAATCATATGTTGCTATTTTGTGATCCTTTTTTTCTTCTTCTAGTTTTACAATTGATACACCAAAACGTTGGGAGTAATGTGAAACAATTGCTGAAAGGTAGTTGGCCAACAAATGAGTTGACAAACCCCAAAACAATTGAATATTTGAAATTAGTAAAGATTGGTTGTCATTAATAATCTTGTAACCTGCCTTGGCAATCAGTCGCCTTAACAAAAAGAAGACCTGAAAAGTAAAGTAAAGAGCAGATGATGATAAAAACTAGAACAGGCTAGTCCAGTACAGTACCTTTCGACCATTGAACAGAGCTGGTCGTGAACAACCATGTTACCTCTTATAGGCAGACAATTCAACCAAGCCGGAATAATCTACCAAAAAAATTTGGAATGAGAAATCTTGGAAGAATAAAAGCGACATGGTTTGCCAAAATCCTGATATGGTGAGCATATGCACAAAAGGTGTAAACAAAAGTAATATTCAGTTGTACCAAACACCAAGCACCATGTTAGCAATCCAATTTCTTCAAAACAAGGAAAAGTACTGACAATGTAATGTTGTACATAAAAGTACCTTATGTTTCCTTTAAATACATAAAAGTGTCTAAACTCTCCTTTTCGTAAGCTGACTAAATACCCTCAGCTACAGGATAATTAAAGCACCATGTTAGCAATCCAGTTTCTTCAAAACAAGGAAAAGTACTGATAATGTATGTGGTACAGGAAAAGTCTTATGTTTCCTTTTAATAAATAAAAGTGTCTAAACTTTCCTTTTCGTAAGCTGACTAAACTAAATAAGTTGGAATGTAAACTATCCACTAGAATTTATATATCTAAAATGGAAAGAAGTTGGAATCACAGGGTATATGCATCTAGAAAATATTTTTTCCTTGCGTTCAACTAAAAGATTATATAAGAAGAATAGAAAATTCTTGTAAATCACTATATGAGTGGTTAAAACTTAAAACGAGCACCATGTGTCTATCTTCCTAGTTTATTGCAATCATTTATCACGTTGGTATACTGACTTTCAAATTTTAAAATTTGTAGGACAAAAAGCTGGTCATCGCAAGTGCAAACATAAAATGAAGTTAGTAGTGAATTACAAAAACAAAATCTAAATGCATGTATATATGTGTGTGTATGAGTTGAGCAATAAAACATTAGGGATTCCCAGAAAACCGCACCTGCGTAGAGTCAATACTTTCCCGATGAAACTGACATATCTGGCCAAGTGCAAAAACAGCATCATGATATGCCTGTTCATTCTCAGGTGCAAGAGCATGTAGATGTGTTATCACAACATTGATCCTTGAAAGAGCCTCTGAATCACGTCATGAGATTTAGTAAATACAAGATTATATCACTCTTCGTCCACTTCCTTGTGATGAGAAGAATCTCAATATCACATTCAACGATATCATACCTCCGATAAATGGTTTGAAAACTAAACCACCATATTCCGCACAAAGCCCAAGTCCATAAAGCGCATTCTGAACATGACATCAAATGGTGTTATAATGAATCATACAGCAAATGTCACATGACTGAAAACTATCCCAACCGCCAAGATGCACAAACCTCTCTAAGAACTGGATTTTCGTCGTTGCTTGAGTCCAAAAGAAAAGGAAGACATATATTATAATACCTGGTTTGAACAGAAAGTAACTATCATAATTGTGACCTTATTTAAGAAAAAACTCATAAAGATAGACCTACTGTAGAGCTGATTCGTTGCATTCCTCCACAAGTTTATTAAAGATATTTACACATGCACTTCTCTCTTGAGCTGTTTTATCCTTGCCCTTTCAAGTAGTGAAAAAAGAACAATGAGAAATATTGGTGGAAAACAACCTAGGGGATCGAAACGTCAATGGTTACCATAAGCCGAAACTCACTGTCATAGGCATTAGATATGAGGAAAGCTCATCAAGGAAAGGCAAGAAAGCAGCCTTGAACGTTTTGATCAATGTCAACAATATGCAACTAACCCTATAAAATACTTTTTCTTCTAGCTCTCTTTCCTCCCTCAGCAATTCAGCTTCCTCAGCATCAAAGTCTTCTGATTTCTCTCTCTCTGTGAGTTTTCCTTTTCTACGTGAACTTTCTATAATGACGTGCTTTATCGCATATGTGATTCTATGAACCTGATCTTCATTGAGAAGTGTTCCACCGATCTGAAAGAAGACACAAAAAGGACCATAAGAAGTGAAAGCTGCCGTTCTAACTCATGTCAAGGGAACTTTTGTAAATATAGGATTTATGGTAAATTCTAGTCCACGTTTCAATTCTTAAGCATTTTGTTACGGTCCAAGTATGTCTTTTGTAGGAATAACTATTAATTCTGCATGTGCCCACGCACAGACTAAGAATGACCAAGTCCGCCGCTCCTATTTTACTTTTCCCTGAAGATCTTACTCTATGCAATTTATTACTCTTGTCTCCAGGTCTTGCTATGTACAAGGTTGTCCTATTTTATACTTTCATTCTTATGAGCATGGACAAGTGTGTTGCTTATCATAATGGACACAAAAAGCTTGAAAAGAAACTGCATACAGTCAATTCCTGAAAAGTAAAGAAACCATCATAACCTGACGTACATTTAGGCAATTATTCAATTCCCGCAATATCTTTTCACATAGTTTTGTCTCAGGCTCCTGCATGCAACAGCAATTGAAGTGTCACTTTCTCCTTGTTCAGATAAATGGAGCTCAAACCTTTTCCCAACAGGAAAAAGAAACCGTAAATATTAATGTGTTGAAGGCAACCGAATACAATGCGTCCCCCAAAGCCAATATTATACGGCCAGGCAACTGCTTGAAGTACCACTTGTTTCCACCTTGAGCATTCTCTTTCTCTACCGCCAGTTTAGCAGAACGCAACAAGGATACCATTGCTTAACCACCACAGATTAAAACAATATCTCATAAGGAATTCGAGAAGTTAAAGAAAAAAGAATTGGAAACCATATGATCAAAGCATGAGATATTTTACCACAACTAGCACATTTCCTGACATAAGAGTGGATATAGAATTTCAGAAGCGGAATTAAAATTGAAGCAGCCTGTTTCAGGGTTTAAGACATAAATATCACCTGTTAATTTTTTGAATCCACTTAACAACACATGAAGAAAAGTAAATGTACTAGTGATCGTTCATGCTAACCTGGAGAATCCATGGGTAGAAATCTTCCCCCAATATCTGAGCATATACTTGAAGAGCCGAACACAATACTGATTTCCCTTCTAGGAGGTCACTTCCATAGATACATATCATTTCACCCCCAAACATGACTTTGTGCATACTGTAAAATGTGAAACTTAAGCAAGATATCCCTGGTAGCCTGAATTATTTTGAGAATCACTCGTGTTGTTATCTGTTGGGAGATGTGGAAGTCTAGGTGTGCTATTAAGTATGGATCCTCCAAGCTATCCATTAAGCATACGACTTATCAGATTTTGTTCTTCTTGAAATGGGTGGTATTCAAATATAAAGGGAATAATGAATGGCCTACAAGTTGGGAAGCTATATGCAGGCTGGTTATTGATCTTTCTCCCAGAACTGAATCATCACTTGTTAAATGGGAAAGGCCACCTCCGAACTAGATGAAAATAAACACTGACGGCAGTAGAAATATGACTGGTGCAGGAGGCATCTGTAGAGACCATATTGGCAAGATGATAAATTAAAAATCCAAGCCTCAATGATAAAAACTTACCTATCATATAGTTTATCTGAGGATACAGTCTTATCGGGCTCAAGTTGAGCACATTCAACTGCATATGGCATGACTATACTCATGTAAGGAAGAAATTCCTTCCCAATGCACACACAAATCCTGGACGATGCCTGCAGTGAAATCAAGAAAAGATGGGGAGGCTAATCTAATAAAAAGTTCTGAGCCTGTAAAACCAAACGATTAACACTAACCTTTAGACAGCGAAGAATATTTTTATACTCTGTCACATGTGATTCTTGTAAAGAGTACTTAAGCACTTCCATAACCTTTAATATAACAAAACATATAGAAAGGAAGGTCTGCGTTTAGAAATGAATGAATGGATAAGATCACACCACCAAGAGAAGAAAAGAATGCCAAGAGAGATGCAGAATGTTGGACCAAAAAGGAACTAGGAGGAGAAAATATATGAGGCATTAGTCATTGATCCCAAATATGGTTTGTCTATGGAAAAGCCATCCGACAAAGCATAGCAAATGCAAACAAGAGAAAAGTCATACCATCTGCAATGGCATTGTGAAATGAATATTATGTTTACACCAAAACAATAAGCATATGACATGTGTCATTTGAGCACACTTTTCACTTAATCATGGTTAATTAACATATATTTTCACCTCAAATTATCAATAAACCATGATAAACCTTTGTGCCATGGTATAAATACCGGAACTGTAGATAAGTTTATCCCATAGCACTAATACATCGCACGCACATGCAAAGAGAAGTATCGAGTATAGTTTGGAGACGACCTGCTTCAAGTCATCTCTGAATTTCTCTTTGCCTGCAGCAAGCGCAACCTTGCTTATGCACAGCAAGACTTTGCTTTGAAGCATCTGATTAGATTCATCATTTGCATTTACCAGGATCGTTTTTAAATATGGCATTACAAAATCATAGTACTTTTGGAAGTGCTCCTGTTGAAGTAATATATTAGTCATCATTAGCTACAACATAAGTAGAAACAGAATTGACTAAAAAATAAATGCAAGTAGGTAATACCTTAGAGAAATCAGCTACACTACCCAATGCAAATAATGCTTCATCTTGAACCATTTGATTGTCATTCTGCATTTCAGACAACAGCAATGAATCTCTTAAGACTCGTTAACAGTAATCTACCTTTATAACAAATCTATCTTTGCATACCTGTAGAAGTACAAGCAGTTTGTTAAGTATTTCATCTATGTGGGAAAAGCTTATTGGCTCTTTAAGTGCAAGTACGAACATCACGACAGCTGTAGATGCACATGCCTATGAAAACGCAAAGAGAGTAAAACGAGTAACATTGTAGGTATTTTGAACTGAATGAAGCAGCAATGACACAGCTGTATCAAATCTTTACACTACGAATTCTTCAAACTCTATTCTGAAAAGGGCCAAAGCTATCCCTTTTGTTTAGTAAATGGTTTAAAATTAACCTTTGTCCACCTTTTAGTCCATAAATACACACAACGCTATTTTCAGGCTTAAAATTACCCCTCCTGCTAACGGCACAACATGTCGGCCCCACTTTTAATGAGTTGGCAACGTACACGTGTCATTAGCTTTAAAGAAAACTTGCATCCTCTTCCCTCACCATCTTCACCACCCCATTTTTAGCCATAACCACTGCAAAATCCAGCCGGAAAATATTTCCAAAGCAATCATCTGGATCCGTTGCCACCCCAGCCAAATATGTGGTGTCCAAATTTGTGGACTTAGTGTTTGGTGTCTAATCTTCCATCTTCCATGTTTCTACTTTTACGAGCTTTGTGTTGTTTCGGCTCATTGATGGCAAATTTCAAATCTGCTTTTCCGGAATATAAATTGACTCCAAAATACAATTGGGTTATGAGTCTGTGATTCTCACTCCCTTCCTCCCCTTTTTCCCTCTATTGTCTTCTTTGTTTTCCTCCAGGTGCTTGTTCATGGAGTATTTGTATCAGCTTGAGCCCCTTAGAGGGTGGTGAATCACAACAGGTGTTATAGTCAAGAGACCTTCTCAAAATATTCAGAAGTTACATCTAGAACACAAGAACTTAAGCAGATGCAATAAAATAATTAGTCCGATATAGAGTTATATTGCACCAACAATGAGGTTATTGTGTTCCTGTTTAAGCCGAGGATTCTTATCAGCCGAAAATAGTAAAATATGTAAAGTTAAGTACTTATTCTGCCTAAGGATAACAACACAAAACTTTAAAGATTCAACTCGCTAAACCTATACCAAGTTATAGATCATCAACTTTATGGAATATGTAACCCCATTGTAAAGGTGCAACAAGATAGATACTTTTGCTGTTCGTTTCCTGTATCAATAATAATAAATTATCTTATAGCTGCTATTATATGACCATAAAGGTTTCATATAACCAAAGGTCAAACCTGCACTCGAGGATTTTGAAAATCATCCATAGCTGCAGCTAATGCTGGCAATACTTGGTTATGATACTGTTCTTGCAAATCTGGACAGAAGTCAGTCGACAAATAGCAAATTGCATTAATGGCAGCCCATCTGACTCGAGGATGAGGATCTCGAAAAGAATGCAGGACCATATTCACTACTTGCTCCAAATACTTGATCATCATCACCTATAAACAGAAAAACCATGGGTTCAAGCTTAACAGCCTAAGAAAATTAAGCTAAAACAAATAAGGCCGTGTGGGCAAACTATCTTATATCCTGGCAAAAGAGCACCTCTTAAATGCTACAAAATAATCCCATGAATACACTAATTAATGAAAAAGAGTTGTACCTTTGAGCTACCTCTAACAATTTGAACAAGTGCAATGAGAGCTGCGTGGCGTTTCTCCCACTCAGGGGCAACCACGTAAGAACTCAGCTGTTCTATGGCAATAGGAGCAATAGTGTTGCCACCTAATGCTTTAGAAAACCGGCATAAACAGGCGGCACCATAAAGGTAGTTGTCCACTGTCCATCGATTCCAGTTACTATAAATGTGGTCGTTTATCTCTGCACCCTCAGCACTATGCCAACTAGGTTCATCTTTAATATCCAGTATCAAATTCAAAAACATTGTGAAACAAGTGTCAATAAACCGTGGCAGCTTCTTCATCATACCGGGGACTTTCTCCCTCGCCTCTACCAAAGTTAACAGAAACTCAATTGCCAAGCGCCTTGTACATTCTTGCAAAATCTTAGCCTCTGCTATCTCAAACATGGTATTAACCACTTCCACTAGTTGCAGCCTCAAAAACCTAGGCTCATTCTTCGCCAACTGTATAAGACTACCCAGGGCGGCTTGTGCTGCCTCCTGATGTTCCCCATTCGTTATTAATGCGTCAGTCAGTGTTTTCATCATCCCTGGCAGTAAATCCTGAAACCGCTCCTTTTCATATGAACTCGGTGTGCACTGGATGAACATGTGCACTGGAAACATGGCCATGATCCTCACATTGATATCGAGTGTATCGTCATTCAGTGTATTAAGGAAGAAAGGGTGCAAATCTCGTACCCAAGGAACCAATTTTTCGCCAATCACTTCACCTAGAAAGCAAAATATTGAGAAAACTGAGTCTTTTAACAGCTTGTTTGAATTGGAATCAGTGACGTAATGATACAAGAATGACAATAATTCAGGCCAATTGTCATTGGGGAGAAGTGAAGCAGCTAGAGCCAAAACGGTTTCAAAGAGCATTTCGTTGATGTATGTTGATTGTTCGAGCTTGAGACGCATAAGGAGATTAGTCTTTAAAATGGATTGAGTTGAAACGCTTAAACTGTTCCAATGGCACAAGTCATCATTAACCAACGTGAAAAAGAGGGTAACACACTTGGTACGGAAATCAATGTCATCATGTGAAGAACCAACATCAAGTTTAAGAGCAAAGGAATTTGGATCCTTCTGAAACATCAAGTTGATCATTGACACAGCCACCGAATGTTTTTCTTCGGTTTCGCACAGGTATTCGGAAACAAGGCTTTCAAACGAAATCCCCTCCATCTGCAAAATTTCTCAGTATATGTTCTTCCTTAGTACTGCGATACATCAATTATTTAAGGGTGTTGACTCAAATAGAACATACAAGTAAGTCTGATCAATTGATAAAATCTAAATGATTGAGATAAAAGTCAACGGGCAAATATTCTTTCTCTGCTTTACTAAATATTTTTCTCTGTTATTGTTTGGATGGGAGCTTTATGTCTCGGGTTCGAGAATAGTGCCCTGTATCATATAAAGTTGATGTTACGTCGTTGGTTCGAGAATAGATGGTTCGACCCTTTTTGGACATTGCTCCGGAAGGTTAGTGTACCGTATTGTCCTATATTATTTTTATTTTATTTTATATTATATAGATTACTATTACTATATTCTTAAAAAAAGAGCTCTAGATTTTTTGGCATAATAAGCTTAAATTTAGAAAAAAAACGTGCTTGAAAATTGTAACAATTTGTCAATTATTAAATATTCTTAAAAAAATAGCTCTTTCCCTATATATCTAAACCATAGGTAGTAGCATAAATGCATAATCAATATAGGGGAAATCTATGGGGAAGCGCAATGTTAGCTACTAATTAGAGTTATATTTACTCTTTAGTCATTGTTTAAAATATATTTACTCTTTAGTCAGTGCTTTAATAAACTTTTACTCGTCCGAATAAAAATACATTTCTTCTAGACATGGTATCCTTAACTTCACGAGTGTTGTGTAAATATTAAGGACAAAGTGTCTTGAATTTAGGGGTGGGCATAATACCGACCGAACCGAAAAAATTGACCGAACCGAAAATTTCGATTTATTCGATTTATTCGGTCGGTTTGCGGTTTATAGTTTTAAAAAGTTCGGTGTTCAGTTCGGTGGTCGATTTTAATAGTTCGATTTTCGGTTAAACCGAAAAACCGAATTGTTGCTTCTGTTGATATGTTGCTTCTGTTGAGATGTTAAACCGACACACGTTCTTAATTAATTTAGGTTAAAGTACTATTTTCAACCTAAAAGAAAAGGAAAAATAAATTAGTAAAGATATTACTCCTCTTAAATAAAGGGGTGTAAAAACTAGAATAGTTACGAACTTGGAATATTCTTCATATATTAGTTGTACTTATATAGTATGTTTATATAGGCAATGATGAGATAGATGCCTAGAAATTGTTTTTTAGAATTTAGTAGATCTTACGTTGAGATAAATATCATAAGATGCACTTGACCTTGACGTGGGGAAGATCTCAGGGAATACCACTGCAAAAATATTCGCATGAGAATTAATTGTAATAATAAGACCTTCAGTCTACTTGTTACATTGTCCTTATTTTTCTGATTTGATATTTATTCATCTTTTAGTTTCATGCATGTCATCTCAAAAAGAAACATCCTTTTTTTATTTTTTATTAGGCAGTTTTTCTTTCTCTATTTGAAATACAGTGAATGGGCAGTTTGCTGTTTTACCCAATTTTTCTAGCTATGTTTTTCACTATTGACAATAGAAGCACTTGCATCGGCCGCAAAAAGTAATTTATTTTCGTTGTTTCGTATTATTTTTGTTATGGCTTGAAACCGATTAAACCGAACCGAACATGAATAAATCGAACCGAATCGAAGTTATTATGGTTCGGTTTTGGTTATTAAAATCACAAACCGAAAATCAAATTAACCGAACCGAAATTCTACAAAACCGAACTGAACCGACTGACGTCCACCCCTACTTGAATTAGCACCTTATGTTTTAAACTTTAGGACATGATTTCCTTAATTTCATATGTGCAGTGTAAATGTTAAGTACATGGTGTCCTTAACTTCAGGGGTGTTGTGTAAATATTAAGGATACATTGTCCTTAACTTCATGAGTGTTGTGTAAATATTAAAGACAAAGTGTCATGTATTTGCATCTTCTGTTGTTAAAATTTTAGGACATCATGTCATTAACTTCATATGTGTAGTGTAAATGTTAAGGACATGGTGTCCTTAACTTCATGTGTGTAATGTAAATGTTAAGGACATAATATCCTTAACTTCATGAGTGTTGTGTAAATATTAAGGACATGGTTCGCTTAATGTCCAAAAGTTAAAGGACATTTTAGAAACGTTTGTCCTCAATATTAGATTCCTAGTTCAATATTTCAAGACATTTAGAAAATTATATCCTAACATTTACTTGTTTCTCTTAATGTCGAGAAGTTAAGGACATTTCAGAAATGTTTGTCCTCAATATTAGATTCCCAGTTCAATATTTTAGGACGTTTAGAAAATTATGTTCTAATGTTTACTTGTTTCACTTAATGTCTAGAAGTTGAGGACATTTCAGAAACTGAACTTGATTCTCGTTTAATTCCCACAAAACAAACTCAAGTAAGGAATATAACTTCCCAATAGCAGTACAAACAAATCATAGTAGCTAATTTGATTCAATTTTTACAAAATCAACAAAGCCCAGGTGGTCGTCTTCTCCAAAATTGGCTTCGCAATTTTCGACAAACCCTAGCAAATTAGATCACAAATGGTCCAAATTTGTAGAATCAACTCACAAAGGTGTTTCCCAATAAATATTTTGAACACCCAATTGATTTTGAATACCCAAATTTTCTGAGAAGAAACGAGAGCTTAAGTGCTGGAGAGAAGCGAGGGTTTTGAGATTTTGATAATGAAAAAGGGTTGAAAAGAAAAGAGATAAAGAAAGGGTAAAAACGTCTATTCATATTAATTATAATAAAGTAGTGACTATATATGTTCAACATTGAAATTGGTGGTCAAATATTAAATCGGCAAAGGGCCAAATACACCCCTCTACTTTCGAAAATGGTCTAAGAATACCCCTCGTTATACTATTGAGTTATCTATACTTCTGCAGTCATACTTTGGGTTCAAATATACCCCTCATTTAAACGGAGGTACACGTATCATCGTCCTGTTGGTCAATTCTAAATATCTTCTAATTAATTAAAAAGACCTATTACCCATACCCGAAAAGCAATATTTTAAAGCAATTATTTTTGTAAAAACTGGAAAAAATGAAATTATTTTTACTAAAAACTGAAAAAAAACGAAAAAAAATTCTTTTTTCAGTTTTTATAAAAATACTGCTTTAGAAAAAACTGAAAAATATTTTCTAAAATAATATTTTTATAAAAACTGGAAAAAAAGAGCTGAAAATCAATTTTCTAAAGCAATTTTTTTGTAAAAACTGGAAAAAACTTAATTTATTTTTACTAAAAACTGAAAAAAATAAAAATATTTTTTATTCCAGTTTTTACAAAAAAACTGATTTAAAAAAAGCTGAAAAATATTTTTGTAAAAACTGAAAAAAAAAACTAAAAAGCAATTTTCTAAAGCAATTAAAAACTGGAAAAAACTGAAATATTTTTAACTAAAAACTGAAAAAAAAAACTAAAAAGCAATTTTCTAAAGCAATGTTTTTGTAAAAACGGAAAAGACAAATATTTTCTTTTTTTTTCAGTTTTTAGTTAAAAATATTTCAGTTTTTTCCAGTTTTTAATTGCTTTAGAAAATTATTTTTCAGTTTTTATTTTCAGTTTTTACAAAAATATTGTTTTAGAAAATATTTTTCAGTTTTTAAAGCAGTTTGTTTAGTAAAAATAATTTCAGTTTTTTTCGGTTTTTACAAAAAATAAAATATTTTTTGGGTATGGGTAATGAGTCTTTTTAATTAATTAGGAGATATTTAGAATTGACCAATATGACGATGACACGTGTCCCTCCGTTTAAATGATGAGTATATTTGAACCCAAAATATGACTGCAAGGGTATAGATAACCCAATGGTATAACAAGGAATATTCTTAAATCATTTTCGAAAGTAAAAGAGTATATTTAACCCTTTGCCGATAATAAATAGCATCTTAAAAATTGGCCACCCACGGCATTTCTTTTCTTTTGTTGTTTTCTTGTGGTCTCTTTTTCTTATCTTAATCTTATTGTTGCGTGAAAAAGTCGGAATTCGATTCCCTTTTAATAAGTGGAGTGGGTTTGATTATAGATTTGGCCCACTAATTGTCAATGATTAAAGAAAAAGCAACTTTAAACACACAAAAAAAGTTACATGTGGGCTGCCATTTTTGAAGAAGTTTTGCCATTACTTTGACACATACACAATCTATATTTTATACTCTCATCCGTTTGAATGTATCTGAATCCATTTGAACTTTTGAATTTGTGGCGTAAAATGAGGCACATATATTTTGTATGACTTTAAATCAAATGCATAAAGGTAAATTATTTTCAAATAAAAAAAGATGTCATTTTTTTTTACACAGACTAAAAAAGAAATAGATTCCGAATAAAGTATGAATATTGCAATCATGGTTCTCACCATACGACAATGGAAAAATTATGGACATCCACTTCAAGATTATTATTATTATATATATTAAGGCCAATTAACATATTATAGCGACTAAGTTCACTTCTCATTTCTTGATTAAAAAGGAGCTGTTTGTGGGGTGATTACTTTAGCGCCATAGAAGAATCTTATCTCTCTTTTTTTTAATTATTATTATATGTTTTATCCTTTGCGGTAGTATATCTTATAGGCCAATCTTATGTTTTATTGTCATTATATTCTGTTACAAATAATTGTCTAGAGAATTAGTAACTCAAATTAAGAGTAAACTACACTATGGTTTGCCTATGGTGTTAAGGCAATCAGACATAGCATAAGTAATAACTTATTAATATTTTTTTTTACGAAAGAAGTTTTATAATCAGTTTTAGCTCTTCTATCCAAACACATAACTATTTATTGATAAAGTTTGTTCATTAGCTGTTACTTTTGTTATTTTCTCCTCTCAAGTCTCCCAATATGGTCAACATTTTCCTTGTGTGAACACATGTAAATGCCAGGAAAAAGACATCCAGTAGGAATCTTGATAGCATCAAGTATAGTATAGAACAAACTTACTGGTAAAAAGGGATGAAGCCTACATCACTGCTCACTATAAAGTTGTCAAAGGTAGAACAAACAAACTTATTGTTGCAGTTTTTTTGTCATTATAGGAAGAACAAAACAATTATCTAAAATGCCAGTATTGTGATTATTTCCTGCAAGTACACTAAAGCCTGCAAATCTCATGGTTGGTCCTAGAATGGGGATGGGTTCCGGTCCAGTAATGTATTGTCCAGTACTTTCCAATAGTACATTTTATACATGACACGTGTGTGCTAAGAATTTAAAGGCTTGGATCTACTTTA